AAAATTTATTATACTGTTATTATACTACTGTTGAGATTGTAGAGAAGATAATTGCCGTAATTTTTTTCATATACCTCGCGTTATTAATTAATAATATAATACATAGGGCTGGATGATCGTCTTGATCATCCAGCCCTATGTATTTCCTTAATAGTGTAATAATTTTTTCTGTTTATATTTAGGGAGAGATTGGATCTGCACGAATTCGTCGATCCAAACAACGAGGATTATTTTAGATTCCGTGTCAAGAGGAAGAAAGGCCTCCCTCAGCAAGATTAATCAGTAGAAAGTGGTTCTGAATGTCCTAATATATTTGACAGTAACATTAAGCCTGCTTGTAAAGAGGTTCTGAATAAGGTTCGACCTTTGTATGAGAGAACGTGCGATCGTTTGAAGAGGTAAATTATAACACTGATTACACACATAATAACCAAGTAATATAGTACAAGTATGCATGGGTTAACGACGAGGATGTGTTTCGAGAAATACGTTGTTAATTAAGAGTATACTTGCACAAAATTATGAAGTAGGCTATATTACACAATGCATATAGGCTATGCGTAACACAACAATATGTACAGGGTTTATGTATCTGAATATATGTAAACGTAGAAAAGGTAACCCGTAAACTTCTACGAATTTTTCGGCTCAATTCTATTCTCACGAGATTTCCGTATCCGAGACTTTCCGAGAAGCTTTATCGTTTCTGTTTCGGAAAGTTATAGACGGCGTGATACTCATAGACATAGGTATAATTTAACCTATGCCTAAACTCTCCTGAATGATAGGATGGAAGGATTCTGTCTTGGCAGTATTTTATCTGGTAAGATTTTGCGATGGCCCCTGATTTCTCTTAAGCGTAGGGTCTGGCGTTACGATACTATAACTTAGGGCCTAGTGGCGTGCGATAGGGAAGTCGTGTTTCTGTAAAAAGCCGACTTCCAGGGGCAATCAATTAATTGCGAGCCAGTGATGGTCTAGGGTCTATTCGTATTCGTTTGTTCGATAAGCTAGTAAAAACTATAGATTTCTCTAAATGTATTTTTAATATCACAATTATATTCTGAATTGTTAGTCACGCTCTAAGGACTACAATTAAAAATAAAATAATAAAAACTTATTTGGTAAAATAAAATGTGTGGGATGTACTGTACATACCTGATACAAAATATTCTTCAATTGTACGAATATACTTTTAAACAAAATTATAATTAAATATAGCTTTGTAAAGAAACGTACATAAAAATCACATAAAGTATTCTTTACTTTTTAAATCTTAAAACAATCCACTTACAAGTTAGTCAAATACTGTAGCTCCCTAGGAGTGGCTAATAATGGAATCACAGTAGGTTGCGTTGCGTGCATACACGCGAACTGCCAAATCCCCATGGTGCCGTAACCGGTCAATGTCAAATACCTTTTTTGCCGCATCACTGGTATACCTCAAAAGACGCGACAGGTTATTGCATATTTTAAACGTTTCTCTCCATAGCTGTAAAAATCGAAATATGTTAAACTTAATAGTCATTTGTTTTCTAACTAATTCGTTTTAAGACCAGGAAATTTCCAAAATTCACGAACTTTTCGGTTTTTGGTGCTCTGTAAAGCTCATGCGCGAATGAGTAGAGGAGAAGGTGGTATTATGGAACACTGCAGGTATTATGGAACCACCCCATTTCGAACTGATAATACAGGCGAACTGTAGCGAAATGTGGTTGAACTGAACTTGGCAGACATCCATAGCGAGGGGAAAACCCGTTTTACTTCAGTTAAACGGTTGTCCGCATTTAATCAGCAAACTTGTTTTTTTTTCAAAATTCGCAAGTTTTGAATGCTAAGTGAATTTAATTATTTTTAAAATATAAATCGTGTAGTTGTAGGTTCACTGGTGCATGTATTCCGTTCCAGAGACTTAGGGGTACATATTAATCTGTGTGATGTTCACGTTTTTTAAATTTTGGTCT